AGATCCTTGCATTGCTGAGAAGAGCTAAGTCTGTCAAAGTGAGTCATTGCACAATATGGCTGTAATTGTGTACAATGTTCTCCTGGTTCTGCTCACTTCACTCAATATCAGACCATACAAGTCTTTCCAGATTTTTCTGAAGTCTTGCCTGTTCATCATTTCTTATAGCACAATAGTATTCCATTACATTCATATACCAGAACTTGTTCAGCCATTCCACAATTGACAGGTATCCTCTCAATTTCCAATTCTTTGCCACCACAAAAAGTGCTGCTATAAATATTTTTGTACATGTGGGTCCTTTTCCTATTTGTATGATCTTTCTGGGATATAGCCCTTGAAGTGCTATTGCTGGGTCAAAGGGTATGCACATTTTTATAGCCCTTTGGGCATAGTTCCAAATTGCTCTCCAAAATGGTTGGATCATTCACAACTCCACCAACAATGCATTAGTGTTCCAATTTTCCCACATCTTCTCCAACATTTATCATTTTCCTGTTTTGTTGTGTTGGCCAATCTGATAGGTTGTTTTCTTTTTCTAAGCTGTTGACTCTTTTTTCATAATTCTCTTGCATCACTCATTTCTTTTCCCAATTTTTCTTCTACCTCTTTTATATGATTTTTAAGCTCCATTTTTATTTCTTCCATGAGTTCTTTCTGGGCATGAGACCACTTCCAGTTTTTCTTTGGGGCTTTGCCCATACTTGTTTTGACATTGTTATCCACTTCTGAGTTTGTGTCTTGATCTTCCCTGTCACCATAATAACTTTCAATGATCACATTCTTTTTTTGTTGTTTTTTTTGCTCATCTTTTTGACCTTTTTCCTTTCCTTTAAATTTGAACTCTGCTCCTGGGGCAGAAGGGGCACTGTCTTAGGCTTCTTGTGCCAGGTGCTACAGGCCCTGGCTGTTTACCTGGTTTTTCACTGATGTTGCCCCAAGGCCCATGAGGGACTTCATATTTGGTACTGTGCTAAAGGAGTGGGGTAGAAGTTAGCTGGCACTACTGGAGGCCATAGGTGTCTGGCAGCTTATGTAGTGCTGAGCTGGAGTCCTGTTGCTGGTGTCTGGCATGTGCAGAGGCCAGTGGGGTGTTTCTGCATTTCCCTAGGGCTACACTGAAGCATGTGGTGGTGTGGCTGCTAGAGGTTGCCTGTTTGCCCATTCCCCTGGCTGTGCTTGAGGCACATGGTGGAGTACTGGTATTGGCATTTGCCTGTTCCACTGCACTGGAGCTCAGGAGCTCCTACCAGTTTGCTGAAGTGGGGCTTTCTGGGACACTCTCTGTCCTGGAATTCATTCTCTTTTTACCCAAGTGAGATAGACCTTTCTTGCTGATCTTCCAAATTTCTTGGGCTTGAAGATTGTTTGACCACATCTTTTTGGTGGTTCTACTGTTCCAGGATTTGTTTTTGGACATTATTTTGTGGTTGGGGGTGAATGTGGGAGAGTTACAATGATTTACTATCTTACTCTGCCATCTTGGCTCCTGGAAGTCTCACTGAGGCCAGATTTAAATTTAGTCTTCCCAACTTCAGGCCCAGCACTACTTGACCATTTAGCTGCCTCTCAGCCTGAGAAATTACAGTCAAACATGTAGAAGGAGAACTCTGAAAGAGAAGTGGTACAGAAACCTAGAGACAAGAGATTATTAGGTAAAAAAGTGGTGGTCAACACTGTCAGAGACTGAAAGAAGGCTAAAGACTGATAAAAGACCTTAGTTTTGTAAACAAAGAGATCATTGGTAATTTTGGAGAGAGAAGTTTCAGTTGAATGATGAGATCAGAAGCCTAAGAGCAGAGGGTGAAGAAAAGAGTGAACAGAAATAAAGTAGAAACAACAGTTGTACATAGACTTCTCAAGGTTAGCCATAAATGGGAGGAGATATAAAGTATGATAGTAAGGACAAAGAACTTACATCTTTTTGTGAGTTGTGTAGATATGGACATGTTTGTAGGCAATAGAGAACCAGCCAGTAGACATTGGGAGACTGAAAGTTAATGAGAGAGCAGGGATGATGGAGGTGGCAATCTTCTGGAGAAGATTAGATGGAAAAGTATTACTTGTGCATGTAGTGGTATTTGCCTTGGCAAGAAATAGAGGTATCTCTTCATATGAGAATAGGGATGAAGGAAGAGATAGTGGCAGAAGGCATCTCGGTGATGTGAGATGAGGAAAAGAGAAGAGGGAGCTCTTGACGAATGGCCTCAGTCTTCTCAGTAAGAAAAGATAAGTTTTTCAGCATAGAGGATAGGGGATTTGATAGCCATGAAAGGTTTGAAGAAGGGTAAAAAGATTGGAAGAGCTGCTATGGTAAGGGGGATAGTGAATTACTTAGGGAGTTGTAAAAGGATTTCCTTGCCATAGTGAGGGTCCAGTTTGTGATTATGTGACACATTTGTAGTGAATCCAGTCAGCACAGTTTTGGGATTTTTCCCAGCTTCATTCAGTTCCTTTGCGAGTAGGAGCAAAGTCCTTAGTGGATAGTGGAAATGATCCAAGGCTGAGGCTTGGAAGGGCCAGATTAGTGATATGAGAGGGCTATAAGGTAAGAAATATGACAGAATAGAGTTGAACTGGTTCAGCAAGGGGTCAAGATGGGGAAGAGAGGAAAGTGTAGCCAATGTAGGGTTAATTGCCTGGAAAAGAACTGAGAGGTTGAGTAATTAGAGGTCGAGTAGATGAGGAAGTACAGGGTTTAGAGTCCAAGGCAGAGGGAGAGGTATAATGACAAGAAATTGTGATTAGATAGAGGAATTTCAGATTTCAGTGGAGCACTTGTGAATCATGACAAGATCTCTGTGTGTAGCTGAGATGGGGTGGAATAGATCATGTGAAGTAAGTTGAGGAATTAGGAGGCTTGCCTATTTGAGGAAGTATCAATACATATGTTGAAGTCCCCTAGTATGAAGTCAGCAGTTGGGGAGGAAAGACTATGAGGTAGGCATTGAAGTCACCGAGGAACAAAGGAGAATGTTCTGGAAGTTGATAGATAACAACTCCCAGAATTTTGATTGAGTGATAAATATGGATTGAATGAACCTTAGAGGAGGAGAGGTAATTGAGTAAATGGTGGTAATAGAGCCTGGGAATTCCAACAAGGAATAAGAAATGTTCCAATTTCTCCACCATAACCAGTGAGTTGGGGGTGGGAATATGAGAGAAAGAGGAATCAGTGCTGACAAGAACACATTTCCCTGGCCAGAGAATGTGTGTCATCAGAAGAGAGTCAGGTCTCAATCTGTTCAAGAAGATGAAGGGAATGAGAAAGGAAAAGATTTAAGTTGGAAGCTAGTTTGTTACTTATAGTGTTGGAATTCCAGAGAGCACAGAAGAAGGGATGTGTAGCTTTAGAGTGGACATAAGTGGAGTTGATTTGAGGGAGATAGAAATAAGGTATGGTCCATGGTCGATAGAGAATGGAGTTTGAACAATGGCAGCCAAAAGTTCAAAATCACTGAGCTAAGGAGGGCTCAATGGGGTGGGTTCATTAGTCACTGAGAAATGAATTCAAGAAAGTTATCATTGTTCATAGGTGTTCAGCCAGAGGGAAAACTTATTCCCACCCCCCACCCCCCAATCAGTCATCACATAGCATAATTCCAAAGCCCTTTACCATTCTGGTTGTCCCAGTATGGATGTTCTGGTTTATCAGGTATTGTTTAGAATTGAACATAGTGCTCTGGATGTAGGCTGACCAGAGGAGGGTGAAGTATAACTATTGTTTTGTTTTGTTTTGTTTTGTTTTGTTTTTTTAGGCAATTGGGGTTAAGTGACTTGCCCAGGGTCACACAGCTAGTAAGCGTCAAGTGTTTGGTCTGAGGCCAGATTTGAACTCAGGTCCTCCTGACTTCAGGGCTGGTGCTCTATCCACTATGCCACTTAGCTGCCCCTGAAGTATAACTATTGCTTTCGTTTTTTCTAGACATCACAGTGCTTTTCAATGTAGTCTAAGATCCCATTAGCTTTTTTAGGTGCCATGTTAGACTTCTTGACTCTTACTAGTCTTGTAAAATCTGCAAACATTTCCCCACATTGAACTGTTGTCTAGATGCATATCCCTATCTTATAGTTGTGAACTTGATCAGTTCTTATTCCATTTAAATGTATTATATATATATATATATGTGTGTGTGTGTGTATGTATGTATGTTATACCTACATGTGTATGTTACACATGTTACCATGTTACCGTGAGAGATTTTATTAAATACTTTCCTAAAATTCAGGCATCCTATGTCTATTGTATATCTGCTCATATTGCTTGGATGAGCAGGAATCTAGTCCAAAACTTATGTTAAGATAAAGGCCCATCATACTCTACCATCTCTCTTGCTAGTATACCTTCAGGTCCACCGGGTCTTAACCATTTCCCTTTGCTCTAGACTCCTGTTCATTGCCATATGACCTGCCAGTGCACCCTATGGTTTCTTGTTCAACCTTGGACCTTGTTCACCATGCCAGTATACCCTAAAGACCAGTAGGCCTGCCCATCTGCTTTAATATTTTGTCTTCCCTAACTAGAATGTGAACTCCTTGGGAATAGAGATTGTTGTTTTAATCTCACCAATATTTCTCCTCATCTGTACCCATTGATATTTGGAAATAGAGCATTGAATTTCTTAGATTTAGAAAATCCCGAGTAATGCCTTAATTCTTTACCTCAGTTGTTAGGAATTAATCTGAACTGTTTACCTCTTTTAATAATAAATAGGAATTAAACCAATAACTAGATGTTTTTGCTTTTCCTTTTTTCTTTTCTATGCATGTCTTTTCCCACCTTCTTAGTCCTTTATGTCCTGAAACATATCTATTTAAAAATTTTTGTATGTGCCCAGTAACTAATCCATGATATTGTGCACAGCAAATATACTGGTTCAGTTGTTCAATTCACCTTCAAATGGGAAAACCAAAATCTATTTCATTCTCTGAATTGTTAGTATTATGACAAGAATTTTGTCTCCCTAGGCTAAATAAATTTGTATTTTTTTTTATTTTAGGAATCTTTCAAAGAAATATCAACCCAAAAGGAATTCAAAGGAAGAGGAAGAATACAAGTATGTTTATTATCGTTTATGTACATAACATTAATGATGATTATCTTTTGGGAGGGAGAAGAAATAGATACCTGCAAGATCAATTTAATTTTACCTTAACTTAAAGGATTGAAAAAGAGAATATAACTGTTTATATTGTAAACCTATTACCAGAAAAGAGCAAACAGCAAAACAGTGGAAATTTTTTTTCAGTTGGTCATTTAAATTGTTTTGGGTCCTGTTAGAGCCCCAAAAGAGGGTAAAAGGGAATCATTCTATTCACTTTTCCGAGATTGTATATATTAATACAATTAGAAATAAACTTAATGCATAACTTAGCAGTTTCTAAAGAATGGAGATTATTCATGTTTGTAATATTAGTGTTCTTAATATAATACCTATGCTCATCAATTAGAAAATGTCCCTATCAGTCATGTGGTATTTGAGAGAAACATTATTTATGGTGACTTTTATAAAATGTCACCAATTCCTACCCCAGAAGTTACTTTACTTGAGTTAAATAAGAAGTGACAAAGTTATCTTTACTATGACAAAATCATCAATTAAGTAGAATACTTCAGTTCTACTTAAGTCAGTATAACTTCTAAGAAAGTTTTTTTTTTAAACTTGTAATTAAATTATGAGTTATTTTGGTGAAAATGTTTAATGATTTGTCTGGATCCCTTTTGGGAAACTCTTGCAAATTAGCTTGTTTTAATTAATATTCCCTGTGGCAAGCAATACTGAGTGATGGGAGGGATCTGTGGCTTTGTATAAGTTAGTGCAGTAATACAAATTTCTGTTTCTATTGTACTTCACAGGTATACATCATGTAAAGCTTTCATTTCCACTTTGAATGAGATGAATGATTATGCAGGGCAACATGAAGTTATTTCAGAGAACATGACCTCACAGATTATTGTGGAGTTAACTCGATATGTACAGGAACTAAAGCAGGAAAGGAAATCGGTAATGAACCATTTCTTTCTAAGTGATAAAGTATGTAATGAATTAATGGGATTCCAGAATTGGGTAACACCTAAACTAGAGATATTTGCCAGTGTCAAAATAATGGGTAAGGAATATGACAAAATAGCTCCAAATTATAGGGAAAAGCATAAAAGCTAGTCTTTGCCTTCAAGTATTTGAGGAGATAAGAAATATATGTAAAAGGATGGTAATAATAAGCATCATAACATATGGATATGACTGCCTTTGGAACTAGTAAACTGTGGGTTCGAGACCTAACTCTGAGATGTATTAGCTCTGTGATCCTGGCCAAGTCACTTATTCTTCATTACAATGTTGAAGGCTTTCTATAAATTGTAATTGAGTTGCTGATCTGCATTGGTGGAATGAGTTTTCATAATTCAGCTTTATTATCTTTATGACAGATCTAGACAAAAATAATCTGCATAATTAAATGTTAAATGGACTAAATTTTCTATAGAAGTTAAAGTGAAATAAAGTTGATTAAGGAGAGGTTTTAAGTGATCTCCATCACTTGTTGATATTTTACATTTTATCCTCTTCTAATTTTGTGCCATCCAATAATGTCTTAGTTTTCACTCCTCCCAACCTTTACCTTTCCTTTCTGAATGAAGCCTTCTACTGATTCTAGAATAGAAGAAAATTAACAGGATTTCTCCTTTCAGTGAATCTGCACAGTCAATAGAAAAAACATCATATTTAAAAGAAGAAACCACATATTTGTATAAATGTTCATTTTTTTATTAAAGATGTTATTGTTATTATGATTATGCTTATGTTTATTATTATTGACTTAGACAATTTTCCTCTTTTGTAATCTTACTATAGAAGCTGAGCTCTATTTAGTGCATGATTTTGTGTGTATTCGGTAAAGGGTGCTGACAAGCCAGACTTGAGGTTAGCAATGATTACATTGGATTCTTTGTTAATGAATTTAAAGTAGAAATTTTGTGTTTGTCAGAGCACCAGTGCAGACAGCAGTAACTTCTCAGTTACGGTCTCAGTCCAAGTTACTTTAGTGTGGAAAACTAACTGTATAACAGCCCGATGAGGTTCAAAATAATGCACAAATACTTAATATCTGTGATAGGAGCAGATTAAAAAGTCCAAACACTTGAGTTGGACTAGCTCTGTGCTTTCTGTTCTTTTCTTGGTCTTGCAAAGTGTTATACCTTCTTCCTGTTTATACAGTAGATTAAACTTGGTGTGAATACAGTTATCAGAATTTGTCAGCTTCTTAAATAGAGCTTTGTACATTTAATAAGTAGTTAAGTTCTGTTTCTGGCAACAGTAGTAAGATAGATAGAAAAAGAAGAGAAACCTTAAACTGAAATGCAGAGATGGTATGAAAAAACACTAGTCAAAAGATTTGGGTTCTTGTCCAAGGCTCTGCTTTTTATTAACCATATTACTTTGGTCATGTCACTTGACTTCCTGGAGCCTCTGGTTTTTTAATGGCTGTGATGATAATTTGTTACTTATCTTACAGAATTGTGAGATTCATGAAGGGTATTGTATATAAAGAATTTTTGAACCTTAAAGCACTATGCTAATGTAAGCTATTATTGTAAGTTTTGCATATTCTAGTTGAAGACTTCTATTTCTTTATTCTTTTGCCTTCTTGGTCTGTGGTGGCTAAGATTATGTGTCATATCTTCAGCCTTATTCAGTATTATTTAATTATTCAGTAGCATTTAGCACCACATAGATGGAAGGGAACTTAGTGGTCATCTAGTCCAGCCTTCTCATTTTACAGATGAGATAAAGTGATTTACCCAGTGGAAACAAGTAGTGAGTGACAAAGTTGGGATTTAAACCAGGACTTTTTTTTATGTTGCATTCTCCAGATGAAGTGCTGTTTTACTGTCCTCTAATATATTTCCAGATGTTCAGTCATTCATATAGCCATTAATTTTTAGTTTTCAAATATGGTTAATTTAAATGATTAAAATTTTTATATAATGTAATTTACTTGCATTCTTTGAGTCCATGATTTCATTATTGTTGGTACTCCTTTTACCCATGCAGATAGTAACTTTCCACATCTTTTTATCTTGAGAAATTCTTGTTCATGACCTCTCATGTGTCCTTCATAGAGAATCTACCCATGAAACATGTAATAAATAATATATTGCATTCCATAATGTTCCTTTTATTTCTGTGAGAATTATGAGTAAATAGCTCTGAGATAATATTCTTTCTTTGTAGGAATATTAAATAATTGTAGATCATAGCACATTCCATGAAAATTTTATGATGAAGGTCAAGTAAAATATAACTACCATATTTATATACAAATTGCACTTTTTCCAAGGCAGTAGAGCTAACACTTTGATTTGCTTAAAAATTTAGTCTAAAGGCCAAAACCAGGTTAATTATAACTTTCTTGGTCATCTCTTAGTTGGAAATTATTTTTAAATAATCAGTTTCAGGTACTTTGTCATCTTGAGGAAACTTTTCTCATTTTGTGGTTATTCAAAACAAATTCGTTTAGTCTTCTTGAATCTAATAAAATTTTGACTCACTACAGTGAATCACAATAAGAATCATTTCTCCTTAATTTTCCAGTATGGAGTGATTCTTGATACTTGATATATTTGTTTGATTAATGTAAATGAATGAATGATATAATGTAATCAAGAGCCTGTGTGTTGTAGTGGGTAAAGAGTCAACTTTGGAGTAAGGAAAACTTGGGTTTGATGTTGCTTCTGGCCCAAACTAGTTATGTGACCACAGGCAAGTCACTTAATCTGTCATTACCCAAGGCAGCTAAAGTAAAGATCCTTCAGAGAGGATCTATCTACCCAAAACTAGCAAGGCTTTCCTCATGGGTTCCAGTGCAATACTCAGGCTTTCCATCTATCATTTCTCATTATTGCTACGTGATTGGCCTGCCTTCCTTTCCCGTTAACTTCATGATGTCTTTTATACCACTTGGAGTGTATAGGCAATCTTTGGTAATTTAGCCTATTTATACCCACTTGTCTTCCTTCATTGCTATCCATTGCCAATCAAGAAATTAGTGTAGAAATGCATAGGATGTAATAACATATTGTAAATTATACCAATCCATGCTCAATGAATTAGGAATTGGCCTTATGTCAAATTTCATATTACTTTTTATTTTTTTAATTAAAAAGTCTCAATCCAAAGTCTGAATCCATCACTCATGTATCAGGAGGTTGGCAGCATATTTCATCATGAGTCCTCTGGAAATTGTATTTGTTCATTGTGTTTATCAGAGTTGCTAAATCTTTCAAATTTGTTTGTCTTTACAATATTTTTATTATTGTATAAATTATTCTCCTGGTTCTTCTCATCTCACTTTCCCTCAGTTCACTTCCCAGGATTCTCTGGAACCATTCTCTTCATCATTTCCTACAATATAGTAATATTCCATAATATTCATATACTGTAACTTGTTCAGCCATTCCCCATTTGATGGACGCTTCTACAGTTTACAATTCTTTGATACCATAAAAGGAAATGCAATTATTTTTCTTTTTTTTAAGTAATATTTTATTTTTTCCCAATTTAAGTTTTGAGTGTCAAATTCTATCCTTCCTTCCTCCCTGAGATGGTCAGGAATATGATATAAATTATAAATTTGTGATCATGTAAAACATACTTTCATATCAGTCATTTTGTGGAAGAAAATTTGAACCAAGAAAGAAAGAAAAAAATTGGTATGCTTCAGTCTGTATTCAGACACTATCAGTTCTTTCTGGGGAGGTGAATAGCATTTTTCATCACAAGTTCTTCAGGATTGTCTTAGATCATTGTATTGCTGAGAATAACTAAGTCATTCTAGCTAAGTCACTGTCTTCATTGTACAATAAATATTGCTGTTACTGTGTATAATGTTCTCCTTGCTCTGCTCACTTCATTATGCATCAGTTCATGTAAATGTTTCCAGGTTTTTCTGAAATCAGCTTGCTAGTCATTTCTTACACCACAATAATACTCCATTACAATCATATACCACAACTTGTTCAGCCATTCCCCTGATTAATGATCATCCCCTCAATTTCCATTTCTTTTTTTTTTTTTTTTAAGGCAATTGGGGTTAAGTGACTTGCCCAGGGTCACACAGCTAGTAAGTGTCAAGTGTTTGGTCTGAGGCCGGATTTGAACTCAGGTCCTCCTGACTTCAGGGCTGGTGCTCTATCCACTGTGCCACCTAGCTGCCCCCTCAATTTCCATTTTTTAGCTACCACAAAAAGAGGTGCTATAAATAATAAATATTTTTGTACAAATAGGTTCTTCCCCCACCCCTTTTTAAAAAAATCTCTTTGGGATACAGACTTAGTAATGGTATTGCTGGATTAAAGGATATGCACAGCTTTATAGCCCTTTGGGTATAGTTCCAGATTGCTCTCTAAAATGGTTGGATCAGTTCACAACTGTGCCAGCAGTGCATTGGTGTCCAGTTTTCCCACATCCCTTCCCGCATTTATCATTCTTTTCCTGTCATATTAGCCAATCTGATTGGTGTGAAATGGTACCTCAGAGTTGTTTTAATTTGCATTTCTCTAATGAGTAGTCATTTAGAACATTTTTTCATATGATAGCTTTGATTTCTTTGTCAGAAAACTGCCTGTTCATATTCTTTGACCATTTACCAATTGGAGAGTGACTTGTTTTCTTATAAATTTGACTCAATTCTCTATATATTAGAGAAATGAGGCCTTTATCAGAGATACTTGCCTTAAAAAATTTTCCCCAGTTTTCTGCTTTCCTTTTAATTTTGGTTGCATTGGTTTTGTATGTGTGTGTGTGCAAAACTTTTTAAATTTAATACAATCAAAATTATTTATTTTACATTTCATAATGCTGTTTATCTCTTGTTTGGTCCTAAATTCTTCACCTATCCATAGATCTGGATAGTTGCTGGATCTTGGAACTGATCCACCCATTTTGGAGAGCAATTTGGAACTATACCCAACAGGCTATAAAATTGTACACATCCTTTGATCCAC